GCTTGTATGTTATTAGCTGAAGAGTTTTAAAATTAATGACTGATATTTATGTTGCCTTTGAAATTTTGTCCCAAGATGCACTGAAAAGGGATGCTGATGTGTGTAAGAAAGAGAAAATTACTATCCACAAAACAATGAAATAACATAACTATCCTATAATGTATGAAGTAAATTATATAAAAGCAATAATTTTGCATTGACCTTTTAGTTTATGGAAACCTTCTAGCAGTAATATACAGAAATGTTAGCTAGAAATGTCACTTCTGTTCCTAGATTTGTCCTTTTAAATATCTAGATTTAGTGTATCTTTTTGTATGTCATCAGAAAAGAAAATGTTTACGGCCTTTCACCTCTATTTCTTCTGAGAACAGGAATCATGAGATCAAACTGACTGACCCGTTCAGCTTCCCTGCTTTTATAGCACAGAGGTTTTGTGGCCTATTTATGTGGCTGTGTGCTGAAAGCTGATGTTGCCTGGCAGAGTAGTAATAAACTGTTTGTGATGGAGAGGTCAAACCAAGCCCATAATTCTGAACTGTTTCTAAAATGCAGAAGCAGTTTATTTTGGCCAAATTTCTTAACTGGTGTCCTGTTACCCAAGGAAAGGGCTCTGGAATTGATTAACTGTGCACAAAGACTTCGTCTGTGTACGTGTTCGTTAAGAAAGAACCATTTGTGTTATGTTTTTCTCCATTACTTTCTTTCACTTGCTGTGCACAATGTATGCATGTCCGGTTTTGCTGTAAAAATAAAAAATTCTGTGTGCTTTTGTCACAGGTGTATTGCCTTTAAACTGATGCTTACTTTTTAACGTCTGTTTCAAGTGCAGTCTACTTCTCTCCTGTATCTATAATAATAAATGCTAAATACACATAGCTTCAAAAGCAGCTATGTCATGCTGACCCATCCTTTTCAGTTGAGGCTGTTGTCAGAGGGAGTCAGTGGCTTGGTAGGGAGTGATAATTTAGCATGAACAGAGCAAAAGTAATAATATCTTCCAGCAACCAGGAAGTTTAGTTCAGAAAAGGAGGAAAATATTTCAGTAGGCTTAGTATTGGGATAGGGCCATGGCAAAACCAGGATATCACTGTTAGATTACTTTGCCACCCCTGCCTTTTTCAATTCCGTATTATTTGCATATTTAGAAATCTCAGGGAAAAGTCTTTTGATGCCAAGTAATGGAGTAATTAGCTGGTGCCATAGAATTGTTTCCTGTAAGGGTTGATTGCTGCTTGACTGTGAAATACTTGAGTTCATTTGAGCCAGAACTCCTAAAACCAATGTTTTTAAATGAAACTTGTGATTTTTAGTTCCCAGGTACCTGGGTGCCAACTTTGACTTTTTGAAATGCAGGTGTTCTGCACTTTCTTTGAAAACCGGACTGCCTGAAGACGTACTAAATTTTGAAAGGAGAACTTATTTTTATACTATTTATGTTATGTTTAGAGTTAGGCTTAATTTTTTTTCAATGCACGCTTCACAGTTAATGACAGCATGTTATGTCAGCACACTTTCATTACAGATTTTCCGGCAAAATAATTTGTATAAATAAAACAGAAGGTACGTGCTTTTTAAAATACAAAACATACTAGTGTTGGGACCTTGGAAAGCACAGAGATGTTATGTGTCCATGAGTAAGCAGGCCCTCCTTGTCCCTTCTAAATGTTTGTTCACTTCTTACTGATACCTTGAGATTTATGCAGAGCTTGCTCTCAGGAGGATGTTGTTCTAATTTGTTTGCACATGAGAAGTAGTCTGGCATCCTGGTGAGGTAGTCTCTTCATTTGTTCTTAGTCCTACTCAAGAATCTAGGTACTGGCTTGTTGTATTTACACTTCTGACATACCAACAGCATGTTTTTAATAATGTGTAAGCTTTAATATTTTCTGGCTTATACACAGTTACTTGGAAGCAGGAAGAGTGTAAACAGGATTAATACTGCGTGATTGCAAAGTCTTGTTGCGATAACAAAAGATGGGCATTTAATCGGAGACTGACTCATTTGTCATATATTTGAAAGGGCATGGGAAGAAATCAGAATTAAAGTAGCACAACAGACCCTTACTTATTAGCCAAAAGGAGGAGAAAAGATCTTATCCAGCAAGGCTGCAAAAGAATCCATTGCGTTTTAGTTACTGACGGGAAGTGATTTTTCTTAAACTGAAATTTCAAACAAAGGGTGAAGATGGGCTTGAAGGTTACTCAACTGTGAAGCTTGTTCATGCAATGTAACTAATAAATATTTTGTAAATATTTACACCAGTTTAATGTTGTTTGAACTCCAATATCCTGAAACTAATTGCTTTTTAAAAAAGGATGCAAGTAAATTCTTTCAGTACCAATAGTCTTGTCTCCCTTGTGGGTGATAAATGTTGACCATTCCCATATATATGCATACACGTGCCTATGTGCATACGTATATTTACTTTTATTATTATTATTTGTGGAAATCACAATCTCCTTGTTTATTTTTATTTTGCATTATTTAGAAGCAGATCAGTTAGTCAGCAGGCTGTAAACTGGTGTTAGGCATTTGATGACCTCCCTCCCAACCCATTTAAAATTCCCTCTTCTTCCATGGAGTTTCATTTTCAGGCATGGTCATTGTCCTCCTGAAATCCTGCTTAGAAGAAATGAGAAACCAAACAGAACAACAAACTTCTCATTTATTTTTTTATTTATACCTTGCTGTGTGAGAACTGGTTATCATTTTTAGGGAAACCCATTGCTGCATTTTCCAATTATCTAAATGGATTCCTTTTGGAATTACAGAGCTTGTTTTTAGGAAAAATATTTTGATGGCCTGTCTCAATGCTTAACTCTGTCAATCTCAATTTCTGCTTTCAGCTCTTTCTTAACTTTCTACTGCGCATAGCATTCCTATTGCATCCCCCAGTTCTCTGTTTTCAATTTCAGATATTTATAGGTTATTATGTCCTCTCACAACCAAATGTTTCTCATGCTATTAATTATTGTATTTCAGACTATTTCTTTTTTACACTGGCTAAATTCTGCTTTCACCTCAGTTATTACAAAGGTACTGCTAACATTTCCTTAGCTAAGAATCTCAGGAGGCAGGGCTGTAGCTCACAGTTATAGCAGTCTCTTTACAGAAGGAAATAAACCCCATATACTACGATCTTGAACTGAAATTCTCAACTTTTTTTAAATAAAATGAGTCTTCAGAAACATAGAGAAAGTGTGACTGTAATGACCATGCTTCAGAGTGTATTCTAAGCTCTAGGAATAATAACCAGTGAAAGGCATCTGCTGTCTTTACCTGAATTTAGAAATTGTGTAAAGTTCTCCAGTTGCATGGATTATCCTTGGGAATGATACCAAATAACAACCTTCCATTACAATATATTCAAAATGAAATATCTAATATGTCTTCATCACAGAATGAAAAATTGTTAGTTACTGTTGAGACACCACATTGTCCATTTCTCTGTGGCAACTATTATGCCTTGATATGCTTAAGGAAAATTGTGATTTACTTTCACCTCCATGAAGAGATTTTAGAGCTAGAATTAAAATTAGGTAAGCCACAGCTATAGTCTCAGATTTTTCAGAATTTCAGAAGCAAGGTAGCACATAAGCATGTTGTCTTCAATGGAATTAAAGCATATGCTACAGGTTGTATCCTACCTGAATACAGACGGCTTTTTGAATGGGAGATTAATGGATCACATAATTCATTCAGATTTTAAACAAAGTAAATAATCTTATCCAACTGGAATATTCTGCCCCAAGCTTCAATTTCAGCTTCTTTAGCTCACCACCCTGCCAATGACTGAGGTTTCTGGAGTAACTCCCTGATTGATGGCAATGCATCAAATCTGTTTGAGATATACAAAGGTTATATCAAAGGATATTGAAGGTGATGCTTCAATGTTCTAAACTGTGAGTGCTGTAATGAATCATCCAAGATGCTTGGGACAGACACAACAAGTGCTAATATACCTGTTGTTTCTCTGACGCACTACACTAGGTTTGTCATAAAATGCAAGCTAGGATAATTTTTCTGTTTGTGAGACTGCAGGCAGGAGATGCGAAACTAACCAGTATTTTGTAGTGATAGAAAAATAAATGGTTTTTGTGTTACATCTTGTTACAAGATAGGTACATGCAGGATGCTTAGTGTTGCAAAAACGATATTTGTAATAGGTTTACCTTTTTTTTTTTTTGCATATGTTTTTCGTTATGCCTTTGATAAATTTTATTTGACCACAGCTTATTTTAGGATGCTTCCTATTTGATGGGTGTCTGCTTTCCTCCCAAGTTGAGTAATATTTTGTCATACACAACACTTCACTCCTTCAGCCAGAATGTTTCACTGTGAATGTCTGGTTGTGTTTTGGACTGGGTTTTTTGGTTGTTTTTTTTTTTTTAAAATGGCTCTAAAATAAATCCATTGTGTCTATCAAGCACAAATTAGTGTTGAGCAATCCTGTTTTCCACCAAGCGGATAATATGTAGCTTGGTCAAAAAGGCACACCAAGTTTGACAACTGAAAGCTTTCAGTCTGGCTCATAGCAGTATTTAACTGACAAATAAAACACTTAGTTGATCCAAAAATCCTGATGTCCATACACTCCATGAAATATACTTTTAATGTACTGCATGTACTTACATTTGAGTCAATAATCTGACTTGCAAAGACATCTAATGAAAGATGCCTTATAACGACTAGGCTTTGATTATATTCCTGCCTTTGCATTGGTTAAAGTTCTGTTGTACTTCTCTTCAACAGATTTCCATACATAACCAGGGATAAAATCAATGCTTAAAATGTCTTTGCTGGTTATTCATAAAAAACTTCGAAGTGTATTTTTTGAATAGGAAAATGTTTTTGAAAACTACATGCCCTTTAAGGGGGAGAGACAGAGAAAGAGGTATCGATGAATATATGTATATTTAGCAGTGTCATAGCTAGGTTAATTGGCTTTGCTGGTTTTTCATGTTTGCATTTCTTGTTTTTTCTTTAAATCCCTGATCAGAGATTGATATTGAGCGTTGTGTTCGTGAGTCAATCAACCTGTTTCGCTGGACTCCAAAGAGTGCTACATACAGGCAATATGCACAGCCTCCACGACAAGCCAGTGAGAGCAACGGCACAAGAAGTTCGATGTCCTGCTTTTCAGCAGACTATCAGGAAGCACCTGGAAGTGACCTAGTAAGTGACCTGGGAATTGGAGAGAGGGAGAATTGTTCAGATTGCGTGTTTCTCCAGCCCCAGGTGTTGTTTTTTTCTCTTTCGAAATTAGATTGAAAGAAAATACCCACCAAACGTCAGTTACTGGCATTTATGTTGTAACTTCCAAGCACAGAGGTTTGACACGTTCATCAGGTATTCTGATTTGCTTGTCAGTTAGTGCACAGTGTTAAAGCCTATGCCATATTAATTTTGATGAACAATCCAATGCATTGAATGAGAATTAACTGAAAGGTGGTTGGGGTTTGGTTTTTTTGTTGGTTTTTTTGTTTGTTTTGTGGTGTTGGGTATTTTAACTTCACAGCTTTGAACTTCAGCTTCTTTGATGTACATGTCAATACAATTACTTCTTCTTGTGCCATGTTTCTGCCTCTCCCAACTCCTGGTCCTTCAGTCGTGTGGTGTTTTTTACCACAACAGACCAATATCCACAACTCACCTGCAGAACTACAAACAGACTTTATCTTAGGAGAAAAATAGTAAGGAGAACGGTTTGCCAGTGAGAAATAGGTAACTGGAAAGTGATGCAGGCAGCTCTGACTACTTTTTACATCTTGGAACATCAGGTTAAATGTACGGCTCAAGTTATTTTGAGAGATAGTATGTGAGTTATGCCTGTGTTTGTCTTGGCAAAGAATAACTAGTGGCTAAGAGTATATCTGCATTAAATAGATACTCAGTTTAGCAAAAATGTTTTTCCCTTCTCTCTCCAGTAGAATCTGATGGTTGTTTCTCTTGTCAAATACACCATGATTGGTGATTTGAAATTATTCCTTTCCTTGCTCTCAGCAGTATAAATCTAGTTAATCTCTTAAAAATTAAACAGTTTTATTTTGTTGGTTTTTTTTTTCCTTCCACGTTCTCCTATAATTAGAATTCATTCATGAGTAC